GTTCCACCACCATTTCGGCACACCCCTCACATGTTTCGTGGCCTCATAGGGAGCTCCACCGAAGGCCCCAGTGGCTGCGCTCGCATGCGGTTCCACCCCCACTTCATCACCCCTCACACGTCTCGTTGCCCCAGGGAAACTCCACCGAAGGCCCTAGTGGCTGCGTTCGCATACTGTTCCATCCCCAGTTCGGCACACTCCTCACACGTTTTGTGGCCCCATAGGGAGCTCCGCCGAATGCCCCAGTGGCTGCGTTCGCATGCGGTTCCACCTCCCATGTCGTCACACCCCTCACACGGTTCGTGGCCCCAGAGGGGGCTCCGCCGAAGGCCCCAGTGGCTGCGTTCGCATGCGGTTCCACTTCTATTTCGGCACACCCCTCACACGTCTCGTGGCCCCATAGGCAGCTCCACCGAAGGCCCCGGCGGCTTCGTTAGCATTCGGCTAGGGAGCTCAACCGAAGGACATAATCACAACCGCGGTATTCACAGCTGCATATTGTTGGCTCCTTCGCCAGCGTACTTTGGTGCTCGGTGCCTCGTTGGTTTTCGACGCACTTGTGGTTTTCGGCGCCTCTTGTCTCGGCGCCTCTCTGGTCTTCGGCACCCCTTGGGCCCTTGGCGCCCCTCTGGTCTTCGGCGCTCCCCTTTGGTCTTCGGCGCTCCCCTTTGGTCTTCGGCGCTCCTGTGATCTTCGGCGCTCCTGTGGTTTTCGACGCCGCTGCGGGCTTCCGCTGCACGCCCTCTGGGTTCTCGGCGCAGCGTTTGGCCTTCGGCGGCCGCCCCTTCTCGCGGCCTGGGCACCCCCGCGCCTGCTCGGCAGGTGCAGGGCAGGAGATGCGCGGGGCAGCCACAGTCTCCGAATACCGATCCTCTTGGCAACGTTTATGCCTACTCCCCCCCTGGGAAGAATCCCGTCGACACTTGCGGGCATTCCTTTACCATGGGAGGCGAAGAAGCAGACATGCTGCACGACTTGGAGGCACGACCCGTCGGTCGGATGAGGTGGGCAGAGACATTCAATAGGAGGGCGCTGAAAATATATTTGGGCGTCCGCCCGCACCCTGAAGAGGGAGTGGACGCTTGTGGGGCTTTCCCATGGGCAGGGGGCGAGGCCACTGGTGCCTTCCCTTTTTAGCACCAGTGGCACAGCCCAGCGTGAACCACCACACCTCTTGACCAGACCACCGCCACGTAAGGCTCAAGCCTCCCCCCAGGCTCGGTGGACCCCCCCCAGGCGGCCCCCAGTTCACCGCGCTGGGAATCCTGCGACTGCGACTGCTTGCAGGCGAGGGATCCAGTCGCTGACCTGGGGGACGCCGGCGAGGGGGTCCTGTGATAGGGGGGAGAGGCCCTTGAGCGTTCCGCTCTGGTGAGAATGGACCTTGGTCACCCCCCCCTCCCTTATTCTCCCTCCTCCCTCAGGTGTGTATCTTCTCCCCCCCTCTCCATGTCTTCGGTTTTATCAGTTCTTCTTCTATCTATTGTCACCTCCACCAGCTAGCGACTCCTGGAGCGGTGCTCCAGGAGTCGCCTAGCTTTAGTTTGATCACCCCCCCAGGGTCGACCAGCCTGGGGGGAGGGCGGCTTCCGACGGATCATGTCATCATGTCGCCTCCAGGCGCCAGGCACCAGGAGGAGGAACAGACGGAGTCATGTTCCAGGATCTTGAGGAGGCGGTAAATCATGAGGGGAGGGGGGGATCGGGAACGGGAAGCCCACCAAACGTCTTCAGACCTCATGTTCCGTCTTCCGTCTCCTCCGCCAGGGGGGTTGCCTCCCTCCTGCTCCAGGCCCCCGCTCGATTTTTGACTCCGTGGGCCCACGCCCACGCATGGACCGGCATACAGGCCCTTGTCTGGCCATCCAGATTTGTTTTCTTCTGTCTGGCTTGGAGTCCCCGGCGTTTCTTGGTCTTGGTCTTGGTCCCCCTCCCTTCCAGACGCGGGAAGATGAAATGATTGATTATCTCGGAGCTGAGGGACGCGAGGTACCCGCCGAAGATTGGTACACGTTTGGGCACCACGTCGACAGCTGGCATTCTCCGGAGAACGAGCTCGCTACCCTCTGATGGCCCAGACCCTAGCCAGCCTTCCCGTCAGGGACGCGCTCGGGCGCGACGCCAGCGTCTGCCTCCTCCTCCTCCTCCTCCTCCTCCTCCTCCTCCTGGAAGGCGCGGGGGAGCAGATGATGGGGGTGGCCCTGCCGTCAGGCTGCGGGCCCTGCCGAAGGACATGCAGAAGACGGCGACGCGCGGCTGCGCCCCCTGCCAGCCTCTGCGGCCGCGCGCCGAGGGTCGAGGCGAGAGATCCTGTGTCGCCACGCTCGGCATCCGGGGGCCCTTGACGGGCCCCTGGGGCCGTGGACAAAGCGACTCGGGATGAGAAGCCGGTCTCCGGGAACCGGGAAGGGGTCCAGATCTCTGGAAGTCTCGGACTGTAACTGTCTGGCGCGTCACGGTGCTTACCCGGGCCACGCCCCTTCTCCCCGGGTGAGGGTAAAGATGGCAGCGCAGCGCCGCCTCGACGTGCCCCACCCCGCCCAAGCGTTACCGTGAGCCGTCCCCCCCCGCACAGCGACCGTGACCGGAAGGCACACGACAGCAGTCTCGAGGGGTAGGCCTTTTCAGGAGGCGGCGAGGTTTCTCAGCCGCCCTCCAGCCTGCTGAGAAGCCCTCTTGTGTCTTCGGAGACAGCGTATATCAAGCAGTGGCGAAGCGTCCTGGCTCGCCTATAGGCCCACCAAAAAGTGTTCAAAGAACCTTCAGTGGTTTGCACGAAATGTTCTTAGAACATTTCTGGCTGGGGCTATCTTGTTTTAGCACATCGGGCTTATGTTCTAAGAACATCGTTTTTGCTATTTGAACTTATTGAGGTTCTAAGAACATGGCGTGGTAGGCCTATAGGAATGCCGGGACGGTCGGTCCCTGCTCAAGTATGCGGTTTCTCAGAAGAGCGGAGTTCCTCAGAGGACCCGCCCCCTCTTGCCTTCCTCGTGGGCGCGCCGTCGACTCTTTGCCGCCACGCACCTCCCTCCTGCTGCCAGGGGGCAGCGACCCGTGCACCTGCACCGATCCCGTGCCCGGCCGATCTTGGGTGATGGGCCTGTTTTCCACCACCACCATAAGTTGGAGGGTGGAAGGAGGTGGAGGATGAGGAGGAGGAGGCGGAGGAGGAGGAGGAGGAGGAGGAGGAGGAGGAGGAGGAGTAGGAGGAGGACCCCATCCCCCTCCTACTTATGGTGGTGGTGGTTGAAAATGGGCCCATCATTGGGTCCACGATCGGCCTGGCCAGAGTCAGTGTAGGAGTGTGGCCTCTTGTGGCCTCGCTTGGATTCTTGTGGCCCACTTCGGCGTCCTCCCCCCACGTGTCCCGTTTGCTCCGCTTCCCAGTGGCCGCCTGCATGGGTTCCAGTCGCTTCTCCCTCCGACCGACCCGTGTCGCATTCTACAGTGGCAACTCCTCCCCCCCCCCGGTGGTTCTGTCTTCTGTCTGCTGGTGCCCGCTCAGGTTCCCGTGGGCTCCTGTCGCTTCCTGTGGCTTACCCCTGCTGGCATTGGTCTGCCGCATGCTTTGGCTGCCGCTCGGGTTCCTGCAGGGTTCCTATGGGTTCACAGGCCTTCCCCGCGCGTTCCTGCACCACTTGGATTGCACCGTGCATCCATCACATGGACGGCGGACCACAGAACTCCCCACATGTGTTGCATCGTGGTAGACTGCACCCCAGAGGTTGCACAACGTCATCGTCTGGGGCTTACGCGCTGGTATCGTACGTGTTTTGCTTCCCCACGCTTTTCGGCATCCCGTGGCCTTGAGAGCGCTCCAGGAGGAGAACACGACGCTCTACGAACGTCCTCAAGCTGGCCCCAAGACGGGCCAAAAGAGCCTCAAGGAGGACCCGATCACGAGCCAGGAGGGCTTCTGGAGGGGCCCCGTACGGCTGGGCAGAGGCCCACGACGGCCTTCGAGGGCCCACCAATGCCTCCAGGGCGACCCACGACTCCAGAAGTTCGGTAGCAAATCATGGGAGGCTGGTATGCCCTCATAAGTCCGTCTGTAGCGTCGATTAGAGCCGATTAGCGTCTTGGACCCCATAAGATAGCGCCGATTTAGCGTTGTTTAGTGTCGATGGGTGTCGATTTAGCGTCGATTAGCGTCGATTTAGCGTCGATTAGCATCGACTCGCAAGAGCCGACAGGATGGTACGGGAGGCTCCCATGAGTTACCACCGAACAGAAGAGGTCCCGAAAGACTCATGATAGGCCCCCAGAGAGAGGTGCAAAGAGAGACATTAGACGGCAAGACCAATCGACCACCTCTAGTTTCATTCTCAACCATCGTGTAGTGTTGGGCTCTCGTTTTGAATCAGCAGTGCCCCGTGTCTTCACCTCCTCCCCCTTCTCCCTCTTCATCGTCATCGCCATCCTCATCCTCATCTTCTAGCGCTACCACCATCAACATAGATCCGTTGTCCCAACCCCGTTGTCGCAGCCTGCATTCCGTGGCCGTGTGGGCTCCGCTCCTTGTGATAGCGAGAGACAATACTTCGCGGCCGTTCATGTCATTCGGTTCGCTTGCATCGGTGGCGGTTGCCACGGTGGGCGGAGCGACCTGGCGATTCGGCACTGCCATCTTGGGATCGCCCATCACAGCAGACTTCGTGAGTCAGGCGTCTGTGTGCGCGGCGGCGGCCGACCTCGTCGGGAGTGTGCGCGGTGCCCTCGTCCTCGTCTTCTGGATCGGGTTTGCCGCAGGGATCCTGGTCGGGCGCTCGAGTCTGCTCAGGTGCCGACGGTATGGTGCTGAAGGCAGGACAGCTGATGCCCGTGCAGTGGGAGCGCGGCGAGTCCCCACAAGCTCGGCCTCTCATCGCACCCGCCACCGCCGAAGAGTTCCAGACGGTGATGGGGGAGGCCAGTTCCGGCGACAGTGGGGGTGGAGTGTCTCTGGTGGGCAGCTACTCCCGACGGCGACACGTGTCCCCACATGCTGCACGCCAAAGGAGTGTACAGCGCGATGGAGCTCGATCGGAGGGGCCGTGAACGCCCCGCTTCGATGATTGGACGCCAGCTCGACACCGAATCCGAGCCCTACAGTTCGGGTTGGATCCCGTCCCCCGCGTTCTTCTTCGAGTGCTTGGAGTTCGTGACAGGGATGAACTTCGACGTGATGCTTCGGACGGCCATCGCCCACTCCGACGCCCAGGAGGAGCCAGAGGCAGATGGAGCAGGGGCGCCAGTCCAGGCTACAGCGTCGAAGAAGTCCGACCAGAAGGATACGTCATCTCAGCTCAAGCTCTTAAAGAGCTCGGGCGAGGTTATTGAGTTGCCACCGGATGTTCATGTGGAGGAGGGACTGCCTGACCCTGCTCCTGATCGCTGGTACGCCGTAGGCGCTACGAGTGACAAGTACCTCGGTAAGATCACGGATTTGAGCGCAATTCTGTCTTTCACTATATCGGGGATCGGCCTCGCATTGTACCAAAGTTACGCGGTGATCCACTCCACCCAGGCGCCCAAGGACGGCTCCCTGGACACGAGGGTGTTGGGAATCCGCGAGGCGGGGGAGGAGGGCAGGCACCTGAGCTGGAGGGACGCAGCCAGCGAGTTTTCGGAGACGGAGAGGCCGAAATTCCCCATCTCAGGCCCGAGGGCGACTTTCTGGTTGCCAGATGCATTCGAGACCGCGATGTAGCCCCGCGGAGCCGACGCGCCAAGTGGCCTCCGAAGTCGGCTTGACAGCGGGGGTCCAGTCAGTGGTAGATCATGCGTTCTGCTGTCGACTCTTGCGGTTGGCTGTCGTGTGCGATCAATTGAATATCACAGAGTTGGCGTGCGCGGAGCTGGTGTCTCGTAAGTTGCAGATGTGTGAGTGCAGGTGTCGGGGGCGAGCCATCGGCGCCGCCCGGGGCCGTGAGTTGCTCGAGGATGCCCACCTTTATCTGGGCGTCGGAGAGACGCGTGGCCTGGTTATGGTCTCGCCCTCCCTGTTGTCCTACGTGTTCGAGAAGTTGAAGACGGATGCCGCTATCCTGAAGGGGCGGGAGAAGATGCGTGAGGGGCGTGCCGAGCATCGAGCGTCGGCAAGCAGCAAGAAAGGCACGGGCGGCCTGGCGGCTCTGCAGAGCCTGGTCGACAAGCAGCGCTCAGAGATCACGAAGCGGAAGGCCCAGATCGCCACCCCCGGCAAGGCCGGCTCGAAGGGCGAGGGGCCTGGCCGCCCGCCTGGCGGCAAGTGAGGCTCACCCTGCTCCCGTGGTCGTGCAGCGGGACCTCTTGCCCGTGCCGCTGCACGCGGCGTCCGCGATCTTAGAGTCACCGAGGCTGGATGCTCTCGCGGCTCCGAGGCGCGGCCGCGGACGACGGGCTGTGCAGGATGCGTTCATCAACTCGTCGACGTTGGAGTGCCTGGCGGCGGTCAACTGGCTCTACGGCGAGGGGGGCAGCCCCGACCTCGACTCCTTTCCTCTCTTTCAGCGTGCGGGCGTTCTGGGCTTGAGGCGGCGCTTGGCGGCGCTGGGTCCACCGCCCGTCAGCTCGGCGGCAGCTCTTCGTGAGTTGCGCCGCGCCACCCCAGGCTGCCTCGATGAGCCTGTGACGCCAGCCGCGTTCGCCGTTGACTCGATCGCCCTCCCTCTGGTTGACGTCGAGTGCAAGTCTGGCGAGCACCTGGTCGGTGAGGCGAGCGACTTGTGGCGTGACTGGAGGGCCAGACCCTGGCGCCCGAAGGAGGAGCGTTCTGCTGCAATTCGCCCCCACTTTGACGAGGTCCTACGTCGAGACAAGTTGACCTACTGCGAGTTTCTGAGGCGCCTCGTCAAGGCGGGAATGACCACCTTCGGAGAGGACGCCTCCTGCGCCATTGCACCGTTCTTCGTCGCGAAGTTCGATGGGGGGCGCCGTCTGATTCTGGATGCGAGGATGGTCAACTCCTACTGTCACGATCCTGCCACGGTTGAGTTGCCGACGGCTGGGGTGTGAAGCGGGTTGCGCGCCCGAGAAGGCGACGAGCTTGTGGTCGAGCAGGTGGCCGTCGAGGCGACCTTCTACCGCGTGGGGGCCCCCTTCGGGCTGGCCGAGCTCATGGTCCTGCCCGGCGTTCTCGTGTCTGATTTGCTGAAGCTCGATCCCTCGTTGCCCGTGGACATGGTTAAGGGAAAGCGTGCCGCTCCACGCCTGGTCGTGCCCCCCATGGGGTGGAACTGGTCCTTGCACTTCTGCCGGCGCGTCGTCCTGGCGCAAGTCTTGAAGGCAGGCTTCCGCGAGCAGGACATGATCGGCGACGGGCATGTGGTGAAGGGCGTCACCCGCGGCCCCGCGGTCACCACCTACTTGCGCGGTGTCGCGGTAGTTGGCGTGGATCGGAAGCAGGTGCGGGACGGCAGTGCAGCTGTCGAGCGCGAGCTGTAGGCTAGCAGTTTGTGCTGCAAGGGCATCTTCACCGCCGCGGACGAGCAGTCGTTCGCGGGGTTGGTATATCTGCGAGACACGGGCGAGGTTCGCCTGTCCTCCAGCCGCCCGTGGAAGATGCGTCTCGCCCTAATGGAGCTCGCGTCTCAGAAGTATGTATCTGGGCGCGCTGTGTTCCAGCTCGTCGGCCACTGCAATTGGGCAGCAGTTCTGAGGGGGCCCCTCCTGTCAGGTTTCAGTGCGGCGCATCGGTGCGCGCGCAAGGCAGGTGGCAGCGTCTGGCGGCCATGGCCCGACGTGGCGTCTGAGCTGCGTGCTGCGGGTGCGCTGCTGGGCCCGGCCCACCTCGGCGCGCGGCGCCCCGTCGACCCCCTCGTGGCGAGCGCGGGCGCCTCGAGTTGAGACGGCGACCCCGAGGGCGCGCTCTTCGGCGGCTTCGGCGTCGCCGGGCGCGCGTGGCCCGCGGAGGCTGTGTGGGGCGCCGCGAGGCGGCCCCGGCGCATGCGCTACCTCGCGGCTGGCGCGGCGGCGGCTCGCGAGCGCGCCTTCTCGAGCCAGCTCGCGGTGGGCCTCGAGCAGATCAACCGCAAGCAGGTCGAGTGCGGCGCCGAGGTGGCGGCGGTGTGCGCGGAGGACAGTGCCCCCGACATCGTGTCCACCGACCGCGCGACGGAGGGCGACTTCGTAGGCCTCGACGCCAACCTAGTGTTCCCGCTGGACGCCTGGACCTCCGCCCTCTTCGGGCCATGGGCTCGGCCTGAGAACGTCCTGAGGCTCGAGGGAAGGGGGGTCCTGTTCGGGGTTCGGCGTCGATTTAGAGATATCTTTTTCGAGAGGAACGATGCAGCTTTTGCTTTGCGACAATCTGAGCTTAGTCCTGGCTTTGGTGAAAAGAAGAGCGTCATGACCCCTCCTCAACTCCTCGTGTCGCGAGTTGGCCGCTGTGTGTCTGTTCGACGACTCGACCGTGGCCGTCCGTTGGCTCCCGAGCGAGTGGGGCGGCAGCGACGAGGGTTCCCGCGCGGTCGCCCCGCCAGTAGGGCGCTTCGAGCTGGGCCCCCGCGACGTCGGCAAGGCCAGGGCTGCCTTGGAGAGGGCGATGCTTGAGGAGGTCGAGCGGCTCGACTGGCGCGAGTGCGATTCCTTCGGCAGGCGTAAGTACGCCAAGTTCGGCATCATACGCTACCCGGAGGATGGGGGGCGCCGGCTGGCATGGCCGTGGAATGCGCGCAACCCGACCCCGAGAGTTCCCCCAACGCCAGAATTGGCATCGCGCAGGTCTCCTCAGCTTGAGATTTGGTATCGCGCAGGCACCCCCAACTTGGCATTTGGGATCGTGAAGGCATCCTCGACCAGGGGGGCTTGCATGCTTTACTGATCGCACGTTGCAGGTGGCTCCATTTACCTGCGGTCGGTCAGCTTCGGGGAGCTTCTAGGTGACGACAGCGGCTGCGCAGCAGGCGCTGCTATGCACGGCGGCTTGTCTGGCGCGCACGTTTTGACGGGCGCTCGAGAGCGGCCCCGTGCTTCTTTCGCGCGCGGGCGCAGTCCGCGTCTACCACTCTGAAGTTTGGTTGGCGCCGTGCCTGCAATTTTGGTGGGTGGCGTGTTGGTATCGATCGAATGGGTTTGCGTCGGCCGTCCCGCAACGGCCTCGCTCAGTTTGGCTTGGATAGATTTCGGCTGGTCTCGGTCGGTCTCGGTTTGCCTCGATCGGTCTCGGTCGTCTGTCTCTCGATGGCGTCGGTCGATCTCAATGGCTCTGGGACGAGGGTGCGCGAATCCGCGGTCGAGCGAAACCGAGCGACCGATGTCGAACGAGGTCGACCGAGTTATACGCGCGGCGGCCGAAACCCGTCGAGACCGATCCAGACAACCGAGACCCATTAGGACCGACCGAAATTGTTTGGGCCTTCTCGAGGCTGCGCCCGCCATGCGCGCAGATCGCAAGGTGGAGCGGTTCCCAGCGCGCCCGCGCATGCCATCTCGGTTCGTGGGCGGGGAGGCACGTGCTAGACATGCCCCGCGGGGCGTTGCGCTCGGCCATAGTAGGCCATTCTGTTTTTGACGGCATCGCTGGGTACTATCAAGGCGCGCGGGCTCGCTTAGGATATTTCGCGTTGGTGAAGTGACGGGGTCATGCCAACAGCTTTCGCCGCGCGCGTCTCGAACGTCAGTTTCCGTTTCGCTTGCGGTTTGTGGCGATGTTACGTCAGTCGTTCGTTGGAAATGTCGCGCGAACAGCGCCCATGCCTTTTTCCCACCAAATCTGCAACGATACAGGTGTCACGTATTATAATCCTGGCAGGTCGTTGCCGGCGTTGCTCGGAACAACCCAAAAGAACATCGCGCAATTTTCCAATGTCGACGCGAAATCGGGCCTCGGCTTGCGTGGGCGAGGTTGCGCCGACGCTAGCGTCACGTCGGGCAGCCCAATGAGCGCTTGCACGTAAGAGACTTGGTTTATCATGGTGAATGATGAGGTTGCGCAGAAGTGTTGCTTTGTTGCCGCGCGCATTGCTCTGCTGATGCCTCGTGACAACCTCGTGCTGGGTTGGTTCGCCGTGGTTTCGCCGCTCTGTCGCGAGTGCCACTTCGCTGGCGCCTCCGGGCGCCTTGCGAGCGCCCCGTGCGCAGGGCGGGTCCCCCAGCGTTTCGCCGTGTTCCCGCTTGCGCCGCTGCGCGGGCGCCTCGTGGGGCGTTTCGCACGGGCCTGCCGGAATATGGCCGCCGTGCCGCTCGCGGCGCGCCGCGGAATTTTGCTCAACAAATTATCTCCCCCCCCTCCCCCCCTCCCCTCCGCCCCTCCGTCATGTCGGTGTTCCTCCCCCCCTGTTTCTCCTTCCCCCCCCATCCGTTGGGCATGTAACCAAGCCAGCCCCCGTGGCGGTCGCTGGCGGCGCCAGGGGGTCCTCTTGGGGCGGGGGGCTCGGGATGTCAGTTCGTGCTCCTGCTCTTGAGCCATCTTGGAGCGTTCTTGGGCTGTCAGAGGCTGCGCTGGGGCCTCTCAACTTGTTTGGCCGTTTTCGAATCCTCTTGAACGCCTTTTGGGCCGTTGTGGAGCAACGTTGATGATGGGCGTGGCTCTCTGGGAACGGCGAAGGCCAGAAGTGGCGCGACTGCCAAATTTGCGTATGGGAGCGCGTGGTGGGGTCTCTTCTGGTAGCTGTTCGTGCGTATCTTATGGGTCTCTTTGGATCAATTGTGAAGCGTTGTGGGGGCACCGTAGCTATTATAGGGGACATCTTGGGCGCATTGGGGCATTTCTGGGTTGTCTCGGGCGCGTCGCAGGCAGTTCATGCGCACCTCGGGGTTCTCATGGCCCGTCTCGGAGTCTCTGGATTTGGGAAGTTTGCGCGGAAGGACCCACTGGCTTTTGATGCCGTAGTATGTTTTCAACGTGTGGAGCGCGCTCCCATGACTGCAAGCCACGCACATTTGATAACAGGTCGCGTTGCGCCCCAGAAACTTGGGAAACAACACGCGCCGAATTCCAGACATGGTCGAGGTTTCGTCTGGCGTATGCGAAATCCGGTTGAGGCTTGTTGTTGTTTTTTTCCTAGCAGAACGGCCCGGTTGACAGCAAGTTGGCCGTGCACGCGGTCTGGGGCCAGGTTGGTTGTTGATACCAAAACCGGAGTGGTTGATGCCAAAAACAAGGCGGTTGATACCAAAAACAGGGTGGTTGATACCAAACGCCGCAAAGGTTGACACCAAAAACAAAGTGGTTGATGCCAAAAAACGGATGGCTGATACCAATCAACCGGCGAAAAGTGGCATCAATTGGCGGAAAAGTGGTATCAATTGGCGCGAATTTGTGGTATCAACCGGCGGAAAGTGGTATCAACCACTGGAAACATGGTATCAATCTGCGCTCGCCAGGTGAGATACAAGTCTCCTACCAAATGCAATCTTCCATATCGTTTCCTATCCTCTCTCCCTTTTCCTGGGCGCTGCGCGCGCCCTGCCCCGCGCGCCTCAAGAAGCATCTGCGTTTAAATGCAACTGGTTTTCTGAGTAAGAGGGCGCATGTTACTCCGAATGGCGATCTCGCGTCAGCGCCGCGTACGATCGTTGCCAATCTTTGCAACAATTGCCCGGGTCGACTGCGCGCGTTACTCGACGCATTTTTTCAGTAGCGAAGCAGGAGAGGGGGGATAATGAAACCGCTGCCCTTCGCGAAGGCTATCCTCAGCACGCCCGAGTGATGACGACCACGGCGTACAGAAAGCGCAACTTGACACTGGCCCCAGGCTCGGGTAGCAATGGCGAAACGCCGGCACGAGCGGCAGGGTTGTCCTGTGAACGTGGCCGAAATTCCGGCCGCTGTACAAATCAAAGGGGGACGAGGCAGGAAGAAAGAAAACCAGCAGGAGGGGGAAGGGCGGGAAGAAGACTGCACGAATGCAGCCAACACTTAGCACGCAGGTACCGCCAGCCACTGCTTAGGCTAACGGTCACCGAGTAAGATTGTGCGAGCGCGGAGCGATGCGAAGCACCCCAAAGTCGCATCGGTGAGACCGTGCAGAGAGGAAGAGAAGAGGAAGGAGTAAAAGAAAAGAGGAGGGAAGGAGAAGCGGGAAGGGTGCTCAGAATCACTTGGTGCAGAGTTCGGGCCAATCTGCGATAGGTGAGCCGTTCCGCGCGACCTCGGAAATGGCGAAACTTCAAAGCAGAGCCCGAGTTCTGTGAACGACCGCGTAAACTTAGGAGCAGGGCAGCGTCGCTTGGGCCAGCGGCGGGCTAGCGGTTGGCTTTTGAAACAAAACTCACGGATCTTATCCGTGCGATTGGTTTTGTAAAAACACGATTCTTGTCGGCATAGGCGCTCCCGCTCGGGCGTTATCCCACTTAGTGGGATAAGTGAAGTGTAATCCCACTAAGTGGGATAACATCTCAGTGTTGCCCTAGTAGGTGTCACCCCACCAGTGATTATCCCACTAGGTGATAGCTCACTAGGTTTTAACACTAAGCGTTATCCCACTGATGTGTTATCCCGCTAAGTGGGATAACATTTCGGTTGACAACTGCGGATAGATCGCGCATCCGCGAGCCAGTGCTGGTTCTGAACAGTTCCGTCGCCGCGCCGAAACCCGCCCGCGTTGCGAGATGGGCGTCGCCCAAACGTACGATTCCGCGCCTTTGGCGCGGACGCGTTCCAATTCAACTCATCCCTGTCCTGCTGTTGCGTTCGTGGTTGCGTTGGCCGCCTCGCTGTTTGACCTGCGCGCAGGCCTTTCGTTCATGCGTTTACGTCGTCGGAAGATCCAATAGCGCTGTTTCGATCGGGTGCGCTCCAGCGCAGGGGTAGCGTACACGGGTGTTCTGCGTCCCGTTGCCACGCCTGCAATGGTTGCTTTTGCCGTGCGCAATCCTATTTTGGCCGCCCCAAATACCATTCATTCAGTTGAGGACCCCCCTACAGATACCATGCGAGCTGTTGAGGCCCATTGGGGTCGTGTTGCGCCAGATTCCGCCGGGCCGCGGCCTTGCCAGCGCCGGCGCCTGGGGTCGCCGCGCGCGTGGCGGGTCGGGCGACGGCTTCGATGTCGAGTGCTTTCGCACTCCGCGGGGCAGCCGAGGCGCAGCCGGCACGAGTGCTCCGTCGTCCTCCCATCGCACGGCAGGGCGGAGCCACAGGACCAGCTCTTCATCTTCTACGTACTGCGGGGGAGCCCCGCCAAGCTCTGCTGAAGGCCGAGAGGGCGAAGCGCCGAGCGCGCGACGCAGACGGCAGGGCCGAGGCCGCAGAGAGCGGGCTGACATGCATACAGCAGACGCGCCCAAGAGTTGCCACACGAAGAAGTCACCGAAGGATGTTGACCTTGTTCGTGACGTGGGCCAACCTTGACTCCGTGAAGCTCGTCGCCCCAGAGCGCCTCGACCTCCTGCTGGCCCATTACCTGGGCCACCTGTGCTGGGAGGGCGAGTTCGGGGAGACGGGCCCGCGGCTGCTGGCTGCGATCCAGCACTACAGGCCCGACCCACCGAAGGCCAAGTTCGGCGGGCTGCCCCAGGAGCGAGCGGCTCTCCGAGGGTTTCGCCGCCGAGGGTTCGTGGGCTCACTCGACCCCGTCCCGAAGCCCGTGGCGTTCGCCATGGTCGGTGCCGGCATCCTCAGGCGGGGCCTGGAGTTTGTCGCCGCCCTCGCGATCGCGTGGGGCGCGATGCCCCGCCCGCCGAGCGACCTGCTGGCCATGGTCCCCGAGGCGCTGGTGGGCCCAGGGCAAGGGGTTCACCCCCAGTGGGCCTTGTTGTTGCACCTGAGGGAGGTCGAGTCTCGCAGCGAGGCTCGAGGCTTCGACGAGGGCGTGGTCCTTCGGAGCGTGCTCTGGCAGCAGGAGGGTTCTCCCTTCCTCGCCAAGCTCCGCGCCGTGCGGCGCCTGTTGGAGCCGCCCTGGAGCTTCGCGGCCCACGCGTCCAAGGTCAAGTTCGAGCAGTGCCTCAAGCTGGTCGGCTACGCCGAGACCGCCATCCCGTGCCAGGTGCGGCGCGGCGCGGCCTCCCACGCGGTGGCCGTGGACCGCGTCCCGCTGGCGGAGGGGCAGACCATCCTCAGGCACTCGGGTCAGCAGTCGGTGGCCCGCTACGCCAAGGAAGTCAGGTACCTCGCGCTGTTGAACAAGGCCCGCGAGTGGGTGCCGAGTTTCGCCGAGGCCGTCGAGGCCAAGCTCCGCCACCTCCCGCGGAAAGCGTCCGTGCTGAAAGCTCCGCGGGAGCTCCGAGCGAGGATCTAGCGGCCCTCCGCGAGATCGCTCGCGCGGGCCGCCTCTGCCGACAGCACCGCGGATCTCTGATTTTGGAGCTGGGCTTCTCTTGTGGGGAGCTGGCCAAAACCGTCCCGACCATCGCTGACCGCGGCGCCCTCTGGATCAATGTCAAGTACCTTGCTTCCGCTCTACTGAGGCGCCGTCTGGTGGGCTGGATCTCCCCCCGACCGATTTCCGCCGCTGCGCTGACCTGGCCCGCCACCCCGAGCTCCGAAGTCTCATTTCATTTGTGCGCGTTGCTCCGCGCTGCCCGAAGCGTGGACTTGCTTGTTATTTGGCTTCTGCCTGCGGCTCCCTCTGATCTGCAGGATGTCCAGACCCGCCTTTTTTTGCAGCACGCGGGCGAGCGATTCCATCGTCTGTCGCCTTGCTCGCTCGGGAGTGGTGGCATGTATTGTCCTGTGTGCTGCGTCTTTTTTCGGCCTCGGGGGGCCGTCGTTGGCTGGGGGCACAGGCAGATGCAAAGGCGATGCTCGCAGGTCGGTGCCGGTTTCGCCGTTCATCCATTTTGGAGTGGCAATGGCAGCTAGCCGTCAAGTGCATTGCTGAAGGCCTCTCCAGACGGGAGAGGGATATTTTTTTACATGAACGGCCAGAGGGCCAGATGCGGGCAGTCGGGCGGAACGCCTGGACTCCTTGTGCTTCGAAGCAACATGTCGCCTGCAGTGTCGACGTTCGAAAGAGTCGTGTATTCTGAGTCATTCGACGCTCCCTCTGGCCACGGCTCGGGGAGACAGGAGGCGACATAGATCCGTTATCCCAACCATGTTGTCGCAGCCTGCGTTCCGTGGCCATGTGGGCTCCGCTCCTTTCGATGGCGAAGGACACCCACCCGCAGCCACCCTGTCTCGCCATCTGGCAAGGTCAATGTGCTCGTGTATACATAATTAATATTGGGCGGAACGCCTGGACTCCTTGTGCTTCGAAGCAACATGTCGCCTGCAGCATCGACGTTCGAAACAGTTGTGTATTCTGAGTCTTCCCACGCTCCGTCTTGCCACGGCTCGGGGAGAGAGGATGTGGCATAAACATCGCTCGCATCATCAGTATCATCCGCATCATCCGCATCATCAACCCCAGCACCAACACCATTATCACCGCAGTCAAAGGCAGCTCCACCGAAGGCCCGAGTGGCAGCGCCCGCGTGCGGACTCGGGTCCATTTGGGCACATACCCCACACGTTTCCCATATGGAACTCCCAGAAGACCCACATGGCAAAGTCAGCATGGCACCACCGCGCCCATGTCGGCACACCCCTCGCACGTTTCGTGGCCCCACGGGGAGTTCCACCGAAGGCCCCGTTGGGAGTGTCCGCCTGCCACCACCGCACCCATTTCGGCACACCCCCCGCACGTTTCGTGGCTCCACGGGGAGCTCCACCGAAGGCACACATGGCAAAGTCCTTATGCTACCATCGCACCCATTTCGGCACACGTTTCGTGGGCCGATGGGAAATTCTTCAGACTACCGACTGGGATTGTCCGCATGCCACCACCACGTTTGTGTCGGTACAACCCTCACACGTTTCGCGGCCCCATGGGGAATTCCACCGAAAGCTTTTTTGGGAGGGTTCGCGTGCCACTAACCCAACCATTTCGGCGCACACCCCACATGTTTCGTGGTCCTGCATGTGGGTTACACCGGTGGCCCAAATTGCAACGTCCGCTTCGTGGCTCCATAGGGAGCTCCACCGAAGGCACAAATGGCAAAGTCAGCGTGCCACCACCGCACCCATTCTTGGCACACCCTTCACACGGTTGGTGACCTTATCGGGAGCTTCGCCGAGGGCTCAAATGGCAAAGTCCGCCTGCCACCACCGCACCCATATCGGTACACCCCTCGCACGTTTCGTGGCCCCACGGGGAGCTCCACCGAAGACCCTGGTGGGAGGGCCCGCATGCCGCCCTGCCCATCTCGGCACACCCCTCGCGCGTTTCCTGGCCCAACAGGGGACTCGACCGAGAGACCCAGGCGTGTAGGCCCCTCGTGACGCACCGCTCCATTTCAGCGCACCCCTCACACGTTTCGGGGCTCCATACGTAACTCCACCGAGGGTTAAGTCGGGCGTGCCCTTCTTCAGGAGGACTATTTGAAATAGTCCAAAACAGCTCGGGGACGATTCTGGGCTATTTTTGAGTATTTTTTAAAATCTGTTTCCTGATTATTTTTCATTTTACGTCCAACATCCGCCTGTAGGGGGACATGCCCGACCAAAGCCGAGGGCTCCAGTGGGAGGGTTCGCGTGCAGCGGCTCCTCCCACCGAAGCACACCGCGGCACGCTTCGCAGCCCTTCTCGGCGATGCGCCAGACAGCCGGCCAGCCCTCGGCTCCGTCTCGCTCGCGTATTCTCGGGAGAGGGTCATATCCTGCGTTACTCGCAGCTGCATATGTCATGGCGCCAACATCGCAGAGCGGATTTCGCTGAGAAAACAATCGGATGGGCCCGGGGTGTCCTGGAGAATATCGTTCCGGATTTCGAAGTGAACTTCGTGCGGATTGTTTTAGCCAGGAAAGAAGGCTAAACAAACATCCACGTGAAATTCACTTCGTTTTTCGCTCGCCGTTTCGGGGTTTTGTATTGACAGAAATCCGCGCAATAATCCGCTGCAGCATGTCTGCAAGGTCGGTGCAGTGACATATGGTTGGGTCCTTCGCCATGTGCTGTTTTATACTTTTTAGTACTTGCGAGCGATTGTCGGCATCTCCTGCCCTCGATGCCTTGGAGGCGTCGCCACGGCACCCACACTTCTGCTTCAGAAGATCACATGGATGGCCCGACGCGCGAGATGACATCCATGGCCGGTTCTCATGTGTCATATCGCGCCGCTTTCTCGAGGGGCAGGAGGTGGACGAAGAAGCATCATCTGCCGCGCATTCGCATCTTATCTGCATTGGAAAGAAGGAATGCACCGACGTGTTGCCATACACCCACGCTTAGCAGTACGGACTCAGTGCGTTATCAAGGTTGTCCTTGCATTCTTGCCTATTCGGCTTTGCCTTTGCCATACATCTTCTATCCCAGAGTTGTCGGCATGGTGCCCGTGCAGTTGTTTCGACGCGGACGTCAAGCGGTCTTGTGTCCTCACGATGCACCGTTAGTAGAACTGTCTATGACTGTGCAGTTCCGATGGTAGTCGAGAGCCGCCACACGTGTGTGGGTGAAGGGCCACCGCACAGATGCTTCCGCTTGGGAACATCTTCTGCTTGGTGTCGTCGCTGTTGGCAATCACGCTCTGACTCCGTGGTCCTTCTCGCGTGGCATTTTTTTTTCTTCACAGGTTGGTACGAGCACTATTGCGCTGGCTGCGAAGCTCTGTGTAGTTATCCGTAAGGGCTTCGCCCCCATGCCGCCGGCCCCACTCTTTTAGAATGGGACTTGCCAGAGCTGTGTTGGGATGTCTGGACGCTAATGTGAAGCAATGTCGGAACTTCACGCGATGGCCAATATTAATTTACGAGGGTTTACGGCTTCGGTGGCGCGAATATTATGAGGGCTTTGGCTTCGGGGACGCAATTCTCGAGTCATTTACGAGGGTTTATGGCGTCGGGGGCGCAACTATCGTGGACTATAGGAGGGTGTATGGCTTCGGGAACGCGTATATTAGGTAATTTGGGAGGGTTTGTTGCCACGGGGACGCAAGCATGGTGTTATTTTCCGAAGGTTTATGGCCCTGGTGACGCGAACATTTTTTGGGGGGTTTATGGCTTCGGGAGCGCGAGTATGGTGTACTTCACGGGTGTGTGTGGCCTCGGGGACGCAACTATAGTGTAATTTACAAGGGATTATGGCCTCGGGGATGCGAACGTCGTCTAACTTATGAGGGTGTATGGTCTCGGGGATGCGACTATGGTGTAATTTACCAGGCATTATGGCCTCGGGGACGCGAGTATCAAGTATTTTTATGTGTCCCACGCCCCCCCCAGGAATTCAGACAAGGCGGTCTGGGCGTGGTGAACAAGCTGGTGTGTGGCTCCCCCCCTCGCGCGTTTAGCAACATTTAACAGTAAGGAAGCAGAAAGCAGGACTATAACAGTGGAAACTGGAAACTGCAACTGGAACAGAGAGCTGCAATCCTCATCCTCGCAGCCTGGTGGCCCCGCAAGGGGGCCAGCGGACCTCTTGCTCAACGCAGCGATGCCCATGCTTTGGCAGAGCTCCCTTGGCCAGAGAGTTTTGGGTGGGGAGGTGATGTCGCGCGGGAACCTCACAGACGCGAGGAACCCGAACGCAGTGCTAAGGGGGGAAGGGGGGGCGGGGCGCGCAAGACGTCCCTTGGGCTCGACGTGCTCCTTGCTCGACTGGTGGCTTGCGCGAGCCCTTTTGCCGCGAGATGCCCCAGGTTGTTCTAGGGAAGCGAGCAATGACATAACCATAACAACTCGGAGGTCCGCGCGGATTCCTCGGATCGGCGTTGAGCCCCCCCTGGCGGCGCCTGCGGCGCCGCCTGCCGCGCTCCGCGCGCCAGGGAGGGGGTCCAGCGCCGACCCGAGAATTCCGTGCGGACCTCTCAGTTTTTATGTTTATGCCATTCTTCGTTCTCCGATGGTTGTTCGAGGACATCCGCTTCGTCAGCACGGGGGGCTCCGCACAGTGCGCGTCCACAGCGTTTTAGCGTGCGGCAGGCTCGCGTCGTGGCGACGCGGCAGCGACCCCCCGCGCGGGCGCCCACGGTAGAACGCCTCCCATGGCCCGGAGTCGGCCGACGTCAACAGATCTGCTTGATTCAAGGCGGGCATGTCCTTTTACATGACGAAAATTCAAAAATAGTAAGAAAGAATAGTCTGGGGACGATCTTTTGTCTTTGTGCCATTTTTTGAGTTTTTCCCCAACCCAAGCATCCTGTGGTGTTGGGTCCTCGTTTTGAAGAGACATCGCCCCGCGTCCCTTTTCCTCCTCCTCCTCCTCCTCCTCCTCCTCCTCCTCCTCCTCGTTTCCTCCTCCCCCTCCCTCCCCTCCCTCCTCCCTGCGTTTCACCCAGAGTACAGCGTTTCGTGGCCCCATAAGGAGTTCCACCGAAGCCCCCAGTGGCACCGCCCGCATGTGTCAGCCACCACCCAGCACAGCGTTTCGTGGCCCCATAGGGGTGTGAAGAGTGCACTCCCCTGCCCCTCTGCCGCCCGTGCCACCATGTGTGTATGTTGTACACGCTTGTCTTGTTTTGTGGCATGCACGCTGCCCGCCGCTGTTTTGACCCTAGTCCTAGGGCCCTGGGACGCACCCGCAGTTTTGACTGCCGCGCAGTCCGAGCTAAAAGAACTGCACTGACATTGGTAGCGGAGCTAGTAAGCTCCAGCGGACGCACTGCGTGCTCTGCTTCGGTGGCTGTGACCACCCGCGCGGGCCGCCATGGCAGCTAGTCAAGACGGCTCAGATGTGGAGGCTGCGTCCTCTGCTGGCACAGGTCCCCCGGACCTGCATGCAGTCCTGCGCGTAATGGCCGAGACCCAACGGGAGCTCCTGGCCTTACATCGGGATCGTGGTGGCGACGGCGGTCCCAGGCGGGCACGTCTACTGCTGTCGCAGGTGAAGCCCCCAGAGTTCGATGGTGCAGTCGGTACGAGTACTAAGAAGTACCGAGAGTGGCGCAAGGAGGTTGAAGTCATCCGCAACCTCAACCAGCTCTCAGATGTGGAGCTGGGCCTGACCATATACAGTCAAGTGACAGGTCGAGCCAAAGAGCTCATCGAGGTGCTTGATGCGTCGGACCTCCGACGCGAGGAGACGCTTGAGACCATCTTTGCTATCTACGACGACGCCTTCGAGAAGATGGATCACGAGCGCCTCGATCAGGTGCATCAGGAGTGGGAGCGAGCACGCCGTCGAGCTGGGCAGCCGATCATGGATTGGACCACGTACTTGCGCAAGAAGCGCATGGAGTTGCAGCTCGAGGATCCCACATTAGCGATCAGCGATCGCGCGTTGGCGAGCAAGATGCTTCGTGGCGCTGGACTGTCGCAGAAGGAGCGAGCGCAGGTGCTCTTCATTTGTGGCGGCATCTACGACTCGAAGCGGATGGAGGTCGTGCTGAAGGCAGCC